TTCACAAGAAGATTCGCATACAAAAAAACCTGGTTATGATACTCCCCTTCCTATGTTCATTTTCCTCTCCCCACAAACATTTTCATCAGTAGCAAATGATAAGGACTGTCCCACAGATAAGGAGCCTGGGACTCACATTTAGGTTTATCTTTGTGTCCTGCTTACTAGTTGGGAGGCCACCAACAAACGACAAACATCCGAGTCTCTGGTTTCTCACTTATATATACCTGACTCAAGGTCACCGTGAGACTCTTGGAAGCCTAACTCAGAACAGTCACTGTCAAGGTACATAAATGGGGCTGAATTCTGAATAGAACTTGAAGACAGAGAAACGGAGTTCAGTATAGCATTTGATGTGAACTATGTGACTAAGAGAAACCAAAGGACCCTCCAGGAGATTGAGCTGAGTCAGTGGAACTCCAGAGCTATCTCCCTGGCCCCGAGAGGGCTGTTCTAAAGTCATCACAGTAAGTAACTGCTTCCACCATCCAGGATCAGCCCTGATTCCAGCCAGGTTCAAAGTACTGACCTCTAAGGAGGGGGCAAGTCCTGTGCTTGCTCCTACTTTACAGAATAAAGCAATGAGGCAGAAATGTGAAGGGAACTAACCAAGATCACAATGCTAGTAAGTGTTGAAGCCAGCACTGTCTCTGGCTGCACAATACGGAATTTCCACACATTATGTATCTCACTGGGGTTCTACAGCACATCAGTAATACAAACATCACTAGCCCCATTTAAGGCTGAAAAAACAAATTTCAAAGTCACAGAGCTAAGGTGAAATCTAAGTTTCTGGACTTTAAGAGGCTGAGTGCTTTACAGCCACGCTGTTGCTACTGGCTGGATTCTGGAACCTCTACAGGAGATGTCGTGGGAAAGGGCCCTGGGAGCCAAATTTGGGCGGTCCTCCCAAAAGCAGGATGAAGGGCTAAGGCTTGTCTCAGTCAGGAAAGCTGCGGGTCACTGGAGGAGAAGCAGCGGCATGGGGGTGCCCCGTGTTCAGGAATGAAGGTGCAAGCCTCGCGCACTTCCCGGCAGTGCTACCCTCGACTTGGCTGGCTTTCTCACGCGTCCCCGAGCGTGAAGAGCAGCGACACAATCCACGCCATATTCCCCCAGCAAGGTCTGCGCGTTCCCGCCGCAGGTGCGAGGACGACTCAGGAGTACACGAGTGTCGGGACACCCTGCCCCTTGCACGCATTTATCGGGCAGGTTTGGGGACTCTTGACGAGGTTCGATCCCATGCTTGCTAAGGAGGCAAGGCGGGCGCCAGAGAGCGAGGGCGGCCGGGATGGCCTCACCTTCTCGATTTTGCCCAGGAACAGCTCCTTGGCAAACGCTCGCCGCGGCGGACCCGTGCGCAGCGAACGCCGGTTTACTCTGGGCACCACCAGAGACTGCCAGCTTCGCGCCACCGCAACCCTGAGCAAAAAGGGCCGGCAGCCACTCATGCTGCCAGCGGTCGCTCCTAAAGCCGGGTCACCTGCGCGAGCCGCGACAGGCGCAGGGCTTGGGTCGTGCCGCCTGATGACGGCACGGTCCCGCGCCGCCTGATGACGCCACTCGCCCGCGCCGCCTGGTGACGCCAGGGGCTTGGGCTGCCGCCGCGGCGCTTCAATGACCGCTATTCCTGGAAGCCGCCATTGTCACCCGTCGCTTTGGAGGTCTGGCCCGAAGCCGGCAAATGTCTTTGCTAGTTCTACTACTGAGTAGAACCCAAGGGGCGACCCTGCTCTCCATCTCTCCCCCTGCTCTCGGTTCCAGAATGAGGCTGTGAAAAATAAGAAGGGGCCGGGGAGATGACTCAGTAGAATAAGCACTTACTTGCCTGGCAAACACAAGGGCCTGAGTTCTGTCCCCGTTTCCGGGGCGGTGAGGGGGAAGAAAGACAAAAAGAAAGAAAAGAAAAATGAGAAGAAAAGGACCGGGGAGATAGCTCAGCGGTCTAAGCGTCTGCCTGGCAAGCTCACGGACCTGGGTTTGATCCCTGGTACTGCTTTCCGAGCCGGCCCCGCGCCAAGTCCACCTCCAAAACTGGGCATGCTGGTGCATGCCTATAATCCCAGCGCCGGGGAGGCAGAAACAGGAGGATCACGAGTGCAAGCTGCGTAGCGAGACCCTGTACCAAACACATGTATTAAGAAAGAAAAAAAAGGGTGCGGGGATTCAGGGCCTGGCCATAAGGAGAAAATCATGTTTGCGGTGGGCTTGTGGTAATCAATGCATTTTGCATCATAGCTTGTATGTATGCTTATGTATATATGGAAGAGGAACAGGATGTTCTGCCACAGCACCCAGGTTGAAATCAGGCCAGTCGTGGTGGTGCAGGCCTCCATGCTTGCATTTGGGGAGGCTGAACAGGACGATTGCTCACCAGAACTCAGCTGGCAGCATAGCAAGTTAGTGAGACCCGCTCTGAAAATTTAAAACAAAACAAAACCAAATTAAAGGGCTAGGAATGTAGCTTAGCACAAAGACCCCTAGGGTCAGTCGTCAGTACTGATACAGATAGGGGTGGGGCAAGGAAGAAGAACACCTAAGGAGAGACAGCAGGAGTGGGACTTTTGGGTGGAGATGTGGCTGTGGGCCCTAGAAACCCTGGTGGGAAACGCACATCTTGCACAGCACAAGCTGACAGTCCTTGGATGACGTAGATAGGTGTCAGTCAGCCAGCCTCCTCCAGGAGCACCCTGCTCTTTTTCCTGGCTCTCTATTACCTAACTGGCATTAGCTGCAGCTTGGGAAATAGTTTAGGCTCCTTCCCAGGATCGTCTTGAGAACAGGAGCAAATCCTCTTCATTTAGGATTGCTGAGTCCAGTCCAAGGAAAGGTTGATTGCTGACCAATCAGGAAAAAGTGCTGACAAACATTTGTAGGCCTCCTCCCCATTATCCATGTTTTGTATCATCTTTCATATTAAAGCTT